CAGCAGCAGCAGCAGCAGCAGCAACAACACATGCAGCACGCCGCCGCAAGCGATATTGGCCCCGGGCCCGACAGCCGGCGTCGCACCTCCTCCACCCCTCAGCGGCCCCAGCACATCACCTACAACGACACATTCCGCCGCGAGCAGCAGCAGGCCAACCAGATGCCCCCTCCGTTCCCCGGCGCCTCGTACGGCGCAGGCGTCCCCCAGCTCAACCAGATGAGGAGCTTCTCCGGTCAGCCCATGCCCGCAGGCCAGTTCGGACAGGTCGCGCCGCCTTTGGGTCACTCGGCCTCCTCCTCCGTCTCCTCTGCTGGTGGCTTCCATCCCTACCGCAGGACTCAGCGCGGCAACTCGGACATCGGCGCAACCAACGTGCACAACTTCCCATCCGCTCCCGCCCAACCTCCCTCCGCCGTCGCCTCGGGCGCAGCGGCTCCAAGAGCGCGCACCTCCAGCGCCGCCTCCCAATCGTCGTCGCGCGAAACTTCGCCCATGCTCGCCGCAGAGCGCAAACGCGGCTTTGCCGCCATCCCTTCCTCCGCCTCCTCCCCCAGTCTCGGACCCTCGCTGGCCAACAAGAACGTGTCCGGCGCACCTTCCTCCCAGGTCGGCCTGGCACACCTTCGCGGCGCTCCGCCACGGAGCAACAGCCAATCCTCGCTGGCCTCCGAAGCTTCCTCGCGCACCGCAACCGCAACCGCCGGCGCCCCCTCACCGGTTCACCAGCGAACCGACTCGTCGGCCTCGCTCCACTCCATCAACACGTCGTCGCAGCGTGCTGCGCAGCCAAGCGCGGCCTCGTCCAAGAAGCCCTCGCCACTTTCGCGACAGGCAGCCAAGGACGACGACGAAGAGGCCGTCTACGGCGGCAGCGACGACGACCGCGTAGACGGCGGCCGCTCCACACCCATGCCCGGCTATGCCCCCAAGGCCTCCAAAAAGACTGGGCTCTCGAGCAAGCTCCGAAAGGCTCTCTCCTTTTCCAACATGAACGACATTCACGACAACAGCTCCTACGGCGCCTCGCAACCCAACACCCTGCGTCGTCCCAACGGCATCCCTGGCCGTGAGCTCGGCGGACTGCCCAACTCGTCTGGCGACACCAATGCCTCCACCGGATCAACGCGCTCCACCTCGCCCCCGCGCACGCCCGACAACGGCGCCGCTCTGCCCGGCTCCTCCGCCGCCTCCATCACCTCGCGCAGAGGCACAAGGCCGCCGCTCTCCAACAACAACGACGGCAAGCGCAGCATCTTCAACCGCAAGTTCAACTCGTCCACCGACAACATCTCCATCTCCTCCACCGTCTCGAGCGCTTCCGTCATGCTGCGCAAGGTGGGCAACCTCGGCAAGCTCGCTCGCCGACACTCGCTCATGGGCCTCACCAACATGTTCAACAAGGACAAGGAAGGTCGCGACGGCCTCCACGGCGACGCCTTTGGCACCATGCCCGTCGCCTCGGACGACTCGGCGCTCAACACCAAGTCCAAAAAGGCGACCAAGAGCAAAAAGGGCATTCCCGCATCCGCCTCCATCACGCACGCCACCGTTGAGCTCGAGAGCGCGCGCGTCGCCGACGCTGGCATGACGCCCGCCGCGTCCTACGTGCGCCAGCATCAGCTCCAGATGCAGGCCCAGGCCGAGGCCGAGGCGCGAGCCGCGCGCGAGCGCCAGGAGTCCGAGGCGAGGGCGCGCGAGGCGGGCGAAAACCGCCAAAAGATGATCGAAAAGGAGAAGGAGCGCCTCAAGTCCAAGCGTGGCTGGCGCAAGAAGTTTGGCAGCAGCGGTGGCGGCAGCATCAGCTCCATCACCTCGGACGCTCCCACCGGCCTCGAAACCACATACGCCGAGCCGGACGCATACCACGCCGACGGCATCAACGGCCAGGCTGGCGCCGACCCGATCGTCTCGGAGGCGCCGCCCCAGATCTCGATTGCCTATGGTGAGGAAGGCGGATTCGATGCCTCGTTCGACAGCGAGTTGCTGGAGCCACCGCACATGCCGGCCGCTGGCGGCCTGGGTGGCGATGACTCGGGCGACGAGTTTGAGACCGACAGCCTGCGCCACTGGGCCGAGGGCATCGAGCGTTCGCGCGCGAGTGCGGCGCAGTTCAAGAACCCCAAGGGCATCCTCAAGAAGACGGCCAGCACGCCCGACCTCTCGCTGAGCGGCGGCTTTGACAAGCCGTTTGCCGGCCGCATCCGCGCCAACTCGTACGACGCGCCGCAGTCGGCCTCGGCCTCGTCGGCCACGCACGGCGCGAGCCCCATGACGCACCTCTCGGGCAGCACGGCGGGCGTGGAGCGTCTGGATGGCATCGGCGCCAAGACGGACTCGCCCGTGTCGTCGCGGCCGGGCTCGAGGTCGGGCGATGTGCCGCCGCGGTCGGCATCGCCGGGCGCGATGCAGCATGCGGGGGGCGGCGTGCTGGGCCACCACTCGAACTCGTCGATGCCTACGCTGTCGCTCATGATGGACGGCGCGGCGAGCGCCGACTTTATGCCGCAGCGCTCCGTGACGGCGCCGACGCAGCCCAAGAAGAAGCTGTCGTTTGCCGACGATCTCATCTTCCACTCGACGTGGCCCGCCACGGTGTACGATCGGCGCGGCGAGCAGGCGACGTGCAACCGGCTCACGCCGCTGCTGGCGCAGCGCATCAAGGAGGAGCTCAACACGTACAAGATGGAGGAGATGGCCGTCGCGCCCTCGAGCCGCATCTACACGCACTTTTTCGTGTGAGCCGCACACGCGCGCGCGCGCCGCGCGTGGCTGGTCCGCGCATCGCTTTGGTTTCGTCGTCTCGCTCCCTCACCATGCACATTTGTTCTCGTACACATACACACACTGGTTCGCTCGCTTTCACATGTTTTGGTTTCTTCGCTCGCTCTCCCACCCATCTTTTTTTTTTGGCCGGCTCTGCAATCGCATGGCGTTTTCGTAGTCCTGTTGGCGCGGAGGATGCGGTGGTGTGATGTGGCTGTTGTGGAGCTGAGATGTGGTGCAGTTGAGTGTTGGGATGGGGATGTGGAGGAAGGGTGTTGGATGGGGTTGGTTTGGCTGTGTGTGTTGGGTGCGATGGAGAGCTAGCTTTGGTTGGAGGGGTAGTGTTAGGATGCGAAGTGTCAAGATGCGAGGTGGAAGATGTGAAGCTGATGCTTTGAAGAACCCTCCGACATCCCAAATCTGGCATACCCCAACTCGGTACTATTATGCTTGAATGGCAGGAGGTGTGATGGCGAGTATCGGCAACCCTTGGCTGCTCATGACGAGAGCCCATCGCTTCGTTGTTCGTTGTTTAGCTCGGCACCGTTGTCCAGCAGACGCTTCTGAGCTTCCAGCATGACGGTACCCCCAATTCGGCGGTGATTTTCCAGCTCCCCTTTTTAAGCCCGCTTTCAACCACTTGATCTCACCGTCCCCCAAAAAAACCCTCCCCACCTCACACTGGCCAGCACACCACACCATCCACAACATCACCCCCACACGCACCTTCGGCATCTCAGAACAAATACACTATGATTTTGGATGGTGTCGGGCACACGCTCTACTCGGCGCGCTTGGCTTCGGCAGGCTCCTCGTGGATCTGGCCCTCCTCGTCCTCGCGATCGTCGTCGTCGTCAGCCCCCGCAACCGCAGCCGCAGCCGCCGCCGCCTCGGCCGGCTTCTTGGCGTCACCGACGCTAACGCTGCTGCTGTTGCTCGTGCTCTTCTCGGCAGCCTTGTCCGACTCTCCACCCGCACCGGCATCGACCGGCGTGTCGACCGTTGCACTCTCTGCCGCTGGCTTGGTAGCCGCATCCTTGGCCAGCGCGGTTTCTGCAGCCTTGATGGGCTCCGGCACGTCCACGTCCATCGCCTGCGCTTCCGAGCTACTGTTGGCTTGTGGTGGCGTGGCTGCCTTGGGTGGCGGAGTGACCGCCTCGCCGCCGACCTCCTTGCGAGCATCGGCGTTGGCACCCTGGCGCTCATCTCGCGCCGACGCTTCCTCTGGCTTGGCGGATCCATTCGACGCCGCCGCGCCACTGTTGCCCTCGCCAAGTGCAGCGCCGCTGCCGCTGCCGCTCTTGGCACGCTTGTACGACGCATCATCCGGCCCACTAGCGCTGCCCTTGTCGTCGTCAGCGTAGGGCCGCTTGCCCAACGAGCTCTCGGGTCGCTTCTCCGGGCTGTTGTCGCGGTTCGCAGCGCTGGCGGCGGCTGGCGCAGCAGCCGAGGCAGACACCGAAGCAGCACCAGCGAGACCCATGAGCGCGTCCGCAGCGCCCTCGTCGTAGTCCTCGTCCACGACGCGAGACGCAGGTCCGCGTGCCGCCAAGGGCTCGTTGCTGCCGTCGGAGCTGGCAGGCGATGCTTCGCGTTGCGCGCGTGCACCCTCCGCGGGCGAGCCAGGCCTGGAGCCAGACTGATCGTCGCGCGAGCGCAGCGGCGTCGACACGCCCTTTTTGGCGCCTGCGACGCTGCCCGCCTTGCTGTTCTTGCCAGCTGCACCGCCCTTAGCGGACCACGGAGAGCTGGCGCGCGAACCCGTGAGCTTGCCCTTCTTACCTGCTGCCGACGGTGCAGGCGAGGG